GGCGCCCGCCCCCGAGGCTCCCGGCTGAGTCACCGCCGCCCGCGCCCCGCTCCCTCTCTCCGCCCTCCCGGGCCTCCCGCCGACGCCTGAGCCGGGGACGGGAGGTGACAAGTACCCGCTGCGAGGAGCGGCCCCGCCGCGCTCCGGGACCGGGGCCTCCCGGGCCTGCCCACGACCCACCCAGGCCCGGCCGCTGAACAAAACCCGGGGGAGGCGAGCTCGGTGCCAGAAGCCGAAACCACTCCCTTTCGCGCCGGGCTGCCCAGCTGCGCCCGCCCCCGGGCTCCAGGGCGGCACAATAGCTGGGTCGTCCCCCCCCCAGTTCTACTTGCTCCGAGGGTTGCTAGTTAACCCTGTTACGGGACAGTTTGCAAACGATAGGACATTCACAATTCAGTACCAAAGCACGAACGGATAGGGTGTTTCGGTGACGTCTTTTCTTGGCGCATTTAAAAGTGACACGGGGCCAGATCGGAGCCATCTGCTCCACTGTGCTCCTGCAGGAGTTTCAGACTCAAGAGCACAGTCGTTAACTTGAGTCAGCAGAGGCACCGTTTTAGCTTTCGAGGCGGAGAGACTCGGGCTCCAGGGCTGCCTCCCAAGGGACAGGCCTCCCTCGGGACCCCCTGGCCTCCCCGAGCAGCCTTTCCTGTCCCATGAGAGGGGCACGAGGGGTTCAGAGAGTTGAGGTCAGACGGGGCACTGCCTTAAGACCAGCTGATGAGGCCGTTCAAGTCACAGTCACTCGTGGCGTGACAGGTGACGATGAAGAAAGGCGTCTCCCTTACTTTAGTCCTGATACAGGACCACTCTGAACGTAACCACAGGGGAAAAAAGACCCCTCGCTGGGAAGCCGTCTTTTCTTTAGTTTAAAGTACGCTTTGCTTAGTTTCAAACAAGACTCTATTCCACCTCTAGTCCTCCGGTTTGGTGGAGAAAACTTGAGTTTTGGCTGTTTCCTAGCCCTCGCCCACACCTGGGGCGGCTTTATGAACGGATTCCTGCTGAAGGCGCCCGCCCACTGCGTCCCAGGGCAGGCCAGGCGCACTGGGAGTGGGCTGTCATGCTCTGGTGCCAGCTAGGTCCCCACAGCCTTCTTCGGAGGAGACACTTTGTTTTTATTCCAGCCGAAGTGAGAACCTCAGGCTGTGTCTTCCACTTGGGAATCTCACATCATTTCGCCGTGAGAATGCGTCTGGCAGAAATTTCAGGGTCAGCATGGGAAGCACAGGCCTAAGTAAGAAAACAGTCAGGTACCCAGGCGGGCTGCCTGTTGCCCATAGATGGACTGTTCACACAGCTATTAACAGCAGCAGCAGCATTCCTCGGCCCAGAATCCTGGCCAATAGCTTACTTGCACAGGCTCTGTGACAAGAAAGTCTGAGTAGCCAGGAAGTGGGATGTTTGCAGGGAAAAGTACTAAAGTCGCTTCGGGTCAGCTCATCCACCTTGCATAAATCAAATGATTAAATCAATAACGTTTCCATAGTTGAGAGTGGAGCACAGTTTTTTGTTTTTGTTTTTTTTCTTGTATTCCTAACAACAGGGGGGTTACCTAAACATCACGTTTCAGCCTTACTAACACAGCCTGGAAGAATAATGTTGTACATATTTATTGAAATGGAAAGATGTTCATGGTGTGAAAAATCACATTACTTGGGGCCGGCCCATGGCTCACTCGGGAGAGTGCGGTGCTGATAACATCAAGGCCATGGGTTAAGATCCTCTCACCGGTCATCTTTAAAAAAAAATCAGATTATTCATAATATGACCCCATCTGTCATATGCGTTAGAAAAAAATCGTGAAGTTAACATTTTCCCTAGGTGATAGGTTTGTTTTGTAGGTTTTGCTTGCCTACATTTTCTCTTACTGTACTAAACATATGTAACCTGTGCATTAAAGAAATAATGCATGTTCAAGTGAAATAAAAAGTTCAGTTCTTGAAAAGAAAAAAAGTATATGAAACCATGTGTGTATAGCTAAGTCAATAAAGCAATGTAGTTAGCAAAGAACAGAACAGATTTAGACCTATCAGCTGTGTTTGGAATTGTGAACAACCTACTAACCCAGGCATGCTACTAAGTTCCTCTTTTTGCTCATCAATCTCATGAGTTCAAAATGGGAATATGAGAAATTCATTTGCCATAGTATGACAATGTCATTGACACAGTCAGCAAACTATATTAATTAAGGTGATTTAAACTCCTCAAAGATGATCCAATGCACTGGTGTGGTAGAAACACTGTTGTTGGTGGAGAAGATGTTAACTCTGCCGAACAAGTGGTAGTTTATGAGAAATGTTTGTGTTTATAGATTAAATTTCAGTCATGAAAGTTTTAGAGGTTTACCTCTTCTAAAATCAGGAAAATGGTCTTTGCCTAAATAACTTGTTTATGATAATGTGATTTAATGTGTGATAATGACTTAAAAAATAATGGTACTATTTAATTTAAAAAATCAAACTACTTGGGCAGGCTCGTGGCTCACTCGGGAGAGCGTGGTGCTGACGACACCAAGCCAAGGGTTAAGATCCCCTTACTGATCATCTTTAAAAAAATAAAATAAAATAAATCAAACTACATAATTTTGATTTTTTTTTTTTTTTTTCTAAAAGATGACCGGTAAGGGGATCCTAAACCTTGACTTGGTGTTGTCAGCACCACGCTCACCCAGTGAGCAACCGACCATCCCTATATAGGATCCGAACCCGTGGCCTTGGTGTTATCAGCACCGCACTCTCCCGAGTGAGCCACGGGCTGGCCCCTTAATTTTGATATTTGAATTCTAATTTTAGACATAGGATGAGAGGTGACAGATCATTTAAAAAGCTGCTATTATCCTTTCTTTTATGTGAACAGAAACACATTTATTACACAAAAACCAAAATAACAAAAACAAAAAAACAAATTCACATTGTATTGAGCTACATATCCTTTTTTTTTTTTTTTGAGAACATTTGGGAACACATACCATAGCATTTAGAGCATCAGGAGCAATTATGCCTTTTCCCCTATGATAGCCCCTGATATTTTCTGATTCTGGACCTCCTAAGGTGTGGTTTGTAATGCACTTACTATATATAAACTTTCTTCTTTAAGGAATCTTACAGTATTCTCTATTTATTAATATAGATATGTAGATGAGATATTGGAAGTAAAAACACTGACACAGTGTTGTGTTTGGCAAATAGGGTGAGTTATTATCCTTACATTCTACTGGTATGAACTGTAACTCAAAAAATTCAATTGGGGCCGGCCCGGTGGCGCACTGCTACAGTGTGCCGCTTGGGAAGTGCGGCGGCGCTCCCGCCGAGGGTTCGGATCCCACATGCAGACTGGCCGCTCACTGGCTGAGCGAGGTGCGGGGGCAACACCGAGGGTTGCGATCCCGTGGCTGGTCCCGGTCCAGTACGGGCGCGACACTGAGGGTTGCGATCCATTGCCGGTCACGAAAAAAGACAAAAAGGAAAAAAAAAAAAAATTCAATTGATTCTCCTGTCCATTGGTTATATTCCTCACTATGTGAAAAGCTGACAATACACAGTCTACGAATTATTAATGACTTCAAATTATTCACACATATATACAGGCAGTAGTCAGGGTACTAAAAGTTGAAACAATATGATTTCAAGGAATTAATTTTTTCCCATCTCCTGAACATGGAAGTGAGAAGGGCAGAAAACTGATGGGAAGAATTCATAGGAGACATAATAAAGCTGAACAAAAAGCTGAAACATCTAAAAAAAATGATTCTGGGAAAAATAAACCTTTGGTTATGTTCCCAGCCACATTCAAGCACAAGGAGTTAAAATGGGAAGCAGAAAGCTTTCCTGAATGTTCCCCCAAATAAATGAAGTGTAGCCAGTGAGATTTAGGAAGGTGACACTATATTTGGTAACAATTAAAATAACTACATTCTCAAGTTTCTTACTAGGAAACCATGGTATTCTTAGTATTTTTAACTTGTCACAACCTGTGCTAATGTTGGCTTTTTTCCCTCCTCTTTCCTAAGTAACTATAATTATCTGAGAATTAGCATTCGGCAGCAGGCATCATTTTTTTTTTTTTCCCCAGAAAACAAAGAATCATAGACTCCAAGGACCTGGCTACTGTGGCTAAGGCTCTTGAATTAATCAGGGAACTCTAGATTCGCCCCCTGGAGCCCAGGAGTAGTACAGTATACCTAAGGAATAAACTAGAAACGCTGAACAAGCCTAAGCCTGTCATACAGAGAAAATCAACTTTATTACCCCATAGCTACTACATACTATGCTATTGAGTTTGGGTCAGTTACTGGTGTTATAGTCCTTTTTTGTGTGTCTGTGGAACATATGGTAAACCTCCTGCAAGGGCTGGCTGGTTAGCTCACCTGGGATGGCGTGGTGCTGGTAACACCAGGGTCACGGTACTGATCCCGCATTGGCCATCCACCCAAAAAAAACCCTCCTCCAAAGGCATACATTTCCAAGGGAAATCTAAGGAGAGACAAAAGGTCCTTCACGATGTTTTCTCTTGCACAGGAGTGACAGGAAGGGAGAGCAGTGCAGTACACAGTGTAGTACTGGTCACATCCATGTACTAAGAATTACTGTTTACGGAGGATTTATTCAATAAATATCTATTGAATACCCATTCTGAGCAAGAGTTCTCGCTTAGGTCTGAAAATCTGCCACATGATACAATCCACGTTGGGATTTTCCTAAGTGTGACCAAATGGTCCAATATAAGTCCCTGAATTCTAGGCTTAGTGTTGTCAACAAGTCCTTTATCATTCTAATCAAGTCCTTTAATTCACAAGAAGTTTGAGAATCAGTTTCTTAATCTGTGTTTGGGGGGATTTAACGTTTATTATGTAAAAAATTTACCATATGGAATAATGATCAGATGTAAAAAAAAAAAAAAGAAAAAAACTCCTTCTTTCATTTGAGCTTCACCTATAATAATTATTTTTTTTGGTTTTACACCTTTAAACTAGCAATAGGATAATAGCCTTTTTAGCCCTTTCTTATTAATGCAAAAAAAAGTTGCTCCTGGTGAACCTGACCCTGGGCATCACTGGCTAACCTCAGGACATCTGGCCACGGTGATCAGATAACTTTTCAAATCTGCGGCTAAACCATCTGAACGTGACAACTGTGTAAGAATTTGCTAATGAAGTCTTGATAGACAAGCTCAAAGTCTCAGTTTTTGTCTTAGTAATTTTATCTGTTTTATCGTGCAAGGCACGTCAGTTTATCACCTCTGGGGTGAAGTTGCAGAATTAATAAAATAACAACGATAACAGTAAGCTATCATTTACTGAGTCCGGCACTACACTAAACATTTTATAGCTTAGGAAACTGAGGCTCGGACAAGTATTTCTAAGATAACCCCAGTCTCTTAACCACTAAATGTTTCCATCAGAATGATCTTAACCACCGAAATAGCCATGGCCCACTAAAGCAGCGTCCACCGCTTCTCAAATAATCTCATCTTTCCAGGGTGTGGAAGAGTCCATTTTCTGATTTAGATTGAAAATTTTTATGACACTTCCCTTTAACAGTTTTTGTCTTCCAGGCTACCAAGTTGATGTCACTGAGTCATCTGCATTTGGTATATAGATTTTCCCTTTCAAATGTCTATTTAAAACGTTAAAGAACACCAGGCCTCCTCTTGGGTAATCTCACCAGGGCAGCCAACTAAGTGTTGAGAGTCGACCTTCAACGTGTAACGTTGTAAAACACTCTGCAGTCTCCTATCTCAACGCTGCCAACTCCTCAATTAAATATCAATAAACAAGTAAAAGTAAATGTCAATACCAAATGTCGCACACTGTGTCTTCACCTCACCCTCCACCGCGGGAATCCTACGAGGAACAGACTCAGGAAACGAAGTGAGACACAGGGGCGGTCCCAAGGTTAAGCCAAGAGAACAAAAAAGCGAATTTAAAGCCAACATCGTGAAACGCTGATAACGCGATCCAGAGTTTTGCTTTTTAATGCACTACCCCGGCGCCCAGTGAATCCGACAGAGCCCACGAGAACGCGCCGGGGACGGTCCCGACCCTGCCGGCCTCAGGTCCGGCCATCCCTGCGGATCCCGCAGCCGCGAAAACAAGTTCGCTCCGCCCGGCCGAGGCGCGGGGGCCCGGCGACGACTCCGCCCTCGGGCAGGGGCGATCGCAACGTCAGCGCCCCCGCGTGGCCCTGGCCCGCGACCCTCCCGCCCGAACAGCGGG